CCAGAACCTTAGCCCTCACCAATGAGGTACACTCACCCTGAAAGCTTCTACCCGCTGCTCCCTGGAAGTTAAAGGAGCTGCTCAATGAAGCCTGCCTCTAGGCTGTCCCTGCCTCCTACTTCCTCTCCTCAGGATTGGCTAACCTGGGAGCCTGCAGACTGAGCAGGGAAGGGTGGGGGAAATGGAGCCCGAAATGGCAAAATTGAGTAGTTTATAAAGAATAAAAATTTATTTGAGCACAGAGGCCAGGAATCCAGAACATGGTATCAGCGTCTGGGGAGGACTTTCTTGCTGCTTCACAGCGTGTAGAGGGCAACACGCGGTGAATCCGACCCTGTGTGCCAGAGTTTGTTATAGCAAAGCCAGTCTCCAGATAACCGCTAACTCACTGTAGTAGTTTGAATGAGAACGGTCCCCATTATAAGAATAGCTTGAGAAAACTTGAGTTATAATATATAATATATATATGATTATTTCTTGGAGATGTTAATATTTCAAGTTAGGCTTTGACTGCATTAACAAATATCTCCCAAATCTTAACGAATTATTTCTGGCATATGTTACATGATCAGTTTGAACTGGTGAGGGAAAGTAGAGGGAGAAGTTGTTTTCCAATCATTAAAGTTACTCAGAGACCTAAGATAAACAAAAGTTCTATTTTGGGGTATGTTTTCAAGACAACAAAGACACAGACGAACGGGCAAACTCTGTACCAGCTTGCAGGGCTTCTTCCTGGGCCTTTGCTACATCTGCGCTCCAGTTATGCTAGTCTGTTACTGCTGTACCCTCACATTCTTACACTTTTTTCTGAAGAAAGTACATAGCAATGCCAGTTTTTTAAAGTACAGAGTGTAGCACATGTCTTCTATGAGCCTGGTATAAGACAAGAATTGCCACCTTCTCCTCTTCCTCCTCCTCCTCCTCCTCCTTCTCCTTCTTCTTCTTCAATGTGAATGACCACTGTAATTTGGGAAGTAACAGGAACTCTTAAATGCAAAAATTTGTTGAAGTGGATCAAAAACTATAGACTTCTGGTCAATATTTACTCTCAATCGTCTACTGGAAGACATTTAAATTAAAAGGAAACAAAGTAACTAGTACGATGTTTGAAATGAATAGTTGTTATGTGTTTATGTAAGAAGATGGATGCTATGGTTTGTCACCCTTCAAGTCCCATGTAGAAACTTGGTTTTCAATGAAGCAGTGTTGAGAACTGCGTCCTTTGGGTAGAGACTGTGTCATGGGCTCTCTGGATTAATCCACTAGTGAGTTAACCAGTGTCTTTGTTACTTATCTATTGCTATGAAAAGAAATCATGACCAAATAAACATATAGAAAATCCTGTTTCTTTGGAGCTTATGATTTCCAAGGGTTAGAGTCCATGACAATCATGCAGAGGGCATGGCATCAGGCAAGCAGGCATGGTGCTCGAGCAATAGCACAGAGCTTAATTTAATCTACAAGTAAGAAGCAGAAAGAAAGACTGACAGAGGTAGAGACAGACAGAGACAGATAGAGAGACAGGGATAGAGAGAGAAAGACAGACAAAGACAGAAAGAAAGCACTGAGAATGACATGAATCTTTTGAAACCTCAAAACCCTCTCTCAACGATATACCTCTTCTGACATGCCCGCGCCCTCCCAATCTTTCCCAAACAATTCCACCAACTGAGTAAGTATTCAAATATATGAGCCTATGAGGACTATTCTCATTCAAATCACTGCAATGGTTCACGGGTTATCTTGGGAGTGGCTTTGCATACATGTTCTGGCATACATGCTCTGTTTCACCATGTGTTGCTTTCTGCCATGTTGTGATGTAACAAGAAAGACCTCATCAGATGCTGATCAGATGATCATGTCCTGCTCAAGACTCCCTGCCTGAGGGTTGCTTTTTTGTAAAATTTGGCTGAACATAATTTCAACCAGCAGAGAAAATATAAACTTGATTTGGTACTCAATCATAATGCTTAGATTTGGGTAATATTTGTTTTGAAAATAATTCATTCTACTTAAAAAAATTAGTGCAATTGCTAAAAGATTAGTAGTGAGAAAAAAAGATGCAAACAATTTGCCATACATTTTCTGGCTCTGTGTAGCATAAAGAAGACAAAATATATCCAGTATAGTTTTACGGTGCCTTTTCCTTTAAGTATGTTCCTCTCCCTAAGTCACTGCTGCAAGATACTGGAAAACATTTAATGAGAACCATAAAACATGTGCAGATAAAGTAGGGAAATATATGTGTATTGAGAGCCACTGAGAGACAGCATAGTCACCATCTCTATAATTTAGATGTCTTGACACAGTTTTACTCCCAACTGGTTGTAGTAATTTTTCTGCTGCCCAGAAAATAAGCAAATTTTATCGTTAGTAGATACATGAAGCTTGTATATGGTGGTGATAACACTGCCTCTGGGTTTAGTTTGAAAAAAAAAAAACCTGTTTCACTGGAAAGTAAATCTTGTTGCCTAACAGAAATATGAGTCTAAACTGAACAGAACTCCAGGGATACATAAGTTCTCTTCTACTCATTTTTAAAATGTGAGGTTTTGACATCTAGTTCCTAATTTGATCAGCAAGAGGTCAGAGTTTATAGATTTGTTTCTACTGCATCCAAGTTCTTTTACACTGCGTTTTTTTGTGATCACAGTTCGGGCGCTCCCCCTCCCAATACTTTAGCTATAGAACCAGGTGATTACAAGGTTTCTCAGAGAACCAGGAAAGCCCCTTTCCCTTCATTCCCCACCAGACCCAATTTCAATTCTTAGTTTCTCAGTCATTCAGGAAACTGTTGAAGAGCCATTCAGGAAAGCCCAGAGTGATTGCTCGTGGATATGAAAATGTGCTGGCTCTTTATAGATGGACCTGGAGAAGATCACAGAAAACATTGTACCGAGTTGCCAATGGACAATTTCCTCCTTGCAATGAAAAATCTATAGTATCTGTGATTCAGTTTTTGATAGGTGTGCAGTCTCTTTAGTCTCTTTATTTCCTGGGCTACTTTCTTCCCAGATGGAGTTTCTTTGCCTGTTTATGAATTTTCTTTTTTAAAAATAGCTATGACCTCTTGGACAGATCAATTTATATAACAGTCAGATTATAGCTTATTTCAGGAAAAGCATTCCAGCTGCTCTCATTATCACCACGCACAGTCAATTAACTGCTGTTAATGGGCAGGGCACCCTCTTGTTGCCTAGAAATTGTTTTATATTTACTTGATGTTCTTTTGTTAAGAAGATACTAAAAATTCTTTTTATGAAAACAGACTGGTTTCTATATCTATATAATTAAAGAACAACTTTCTGTGGTTTTTAAACATCATTTCCTATACTTATAGCATCTTCATTGTATATCATGTGTTTTTATTATGGTCTAATTTTCATGAAAATTTGTTCATTCATTTAATGCATATTTACTGAGAATCAGTCATTGACTTCAGTGAACAAAGCAGACACAATTAGTACCCCCAACACTATTTCCATGCTTCAGGTTATTTTATACACACACACACACACACACACACACACACACACACACACACACACATATAGGTATCGTCCACTAGATTATAATATACATATATATGTGTATATACTTCAAGCTGATAAAATCAACCAATTTGATCCCTAGCCCAGTTTTTAGCCTAGAAAAATCTAGGCATTTTGTAAGGGAAGGAGACATGGGAGGGTGGAAAGGAGTTAATGGTTTCTAAGTGAGTTTGGGCATATGATCTTTAGTTTGATTGCATACTTCCGAAGCATGGTCACAGAACCCTCAAACAGTAATTCTCTTTGCTCTGGGATCGAAGACTGGGCTGCATCTAAGATGTAATCTACAGATTGCTGGAGTGTTCTTTCAGGTTCCCAGAAATCCGAGATTGACTTCAGGGAGTGACAATGGCTGTTCTAAAGTTGTTAGCCCAGTTGGCCAGAACTCATAGGAAGGCTTGACTGCTCGTCCCTGGAGACGGGCTCCTGTAGAACTGTATCACATCATAAAAGTTGGGAAGCTTCAGAGTGGCGGTAAGAGGAAGGATCCCTTCCCCACCCTCCTCTGCCTTAGCACCTGGGCCTCTGGCTCCCGGTTTGATCCAGCTCACTCCTACCCTTTGCACAGTAATCACCCTTCCCGAGCTTCGGGATGGTGCATGCGCAGAAAGATTCAGGCGCTGGCGGCCCGGGACGGGAGACATCGATTGACTCGGTGCTCGGCTCCTCGATTTATCTGCGTTCGATTGAGGGGTGTGGAGCCCACTTCCGGCGTCGGGCGGCTCTTCCGGCTGCGGCGTTGGGCGGGCGGCGCTGGCTGCAGGTGCGTCTGTTGGGTCTTCCTCGCTGTGGCTGGTCTCGGGGTGTGGTCGGAACCGAGCCGGCGAGGGCGAGTGTGTGGTCTGCTGCGTGGCCCCGCGCTCGGCGGACGTAGGGGAGGAAGGGACCCGAGCGCTGGCGGGTCGAGGCCCGGCGCCGCGTCCTGGTCTCTGCGGGGTGGTTGGCTCTTAACGCCGGCGGGCCCTCGTGCTGGGCAGATTCCCCGGTGTGTGGAAGGGCTCAGGCCGACGCGTAGGAATCACTCCCCCCCCTCCCCCGCAGCCTGTTCGATTTCGGGTGCCGTTGCACTGTTTCAGCCCGTAGGAGCTACGACGGAGCTTCTCTCTGCCCCCCCTCTGAGACCTCAGCCCTTCTCCGGGTCCCCGCTTAGGAGGCAAGCCTTTGATAAACGTTACCGGCCATCCGTTACCTCTTAGTACAGGCCCCTTTGTAGTCATCCTGCGATGCTCAGCACAGCGTTTCTGCCACCTCAAAACACTGCCCTTTAACTTGTAATAGCAGTCTATAATAAACTAACCCGTGGTGCTTACAGATGCAGGCCGTTACAGTTTGTCTCATTTAATCTTCTGGGTTCACTTTATAGGTGCTGTTACTATCCATAAATTGTAACTGAGGACCCAAGACATTAAGGAACCTGCCCCTCAGCGAAAACAGGTTGTAAAAGCATAGATGTAGTTTTGTTTTGTTTCCAGACAGGGTTGCTCTGTGTAGCCTTGGTTGTCCTGGACTCGCTTTGTAGACCAGGCCGCCCTCCAACTCACATCGATCCAGCTTCCCTTTGTCTTCCTGAGTGCTGGGATTAAAGGTGTGTGCCACCAGATCTGGCTCATAGGCAGAATTTAAATCCGGATGTTATTGGTACCAGAATGGTCAGTCTTATACATATATATTGATATATAAATTATATGTATATATTATATATGTACATATATATTAAATAGATTTGAAAGCTGCTGAGGTGCCTCAGGAGGTAGAGGCACTTTTGGCCAACTTTGAACACTTATGAGTTCGGCCCCTGAGACCCATGTAGTGGCAGAAGAGAACATGCCCTTAAAAGGTTCTCTGACCTCAGTGCACATGATGGCACTTGTAAACACACAGACACACAAACACATTGAACGTTTAAATAGGTTTATGAGTACATATATGAACTGTGTGGTAATTTGTATTCTGTTTATTGTGTTTTGTTTGTTTTTACAAATGTTTAAATCACTGCACTGAAAATTTTTTCTGGTGAATATGATCAAAATACATGGTATGACATTATCAAAGAATTACTAGTTACATCTTTAAAAAGTTATTGTGTTATTTCATTGTGTATATGAAAAGACACATTAAGTTTGGGGATGTTTAAAAAAATATAACCTTGAATAAAATGTTTCTATCCGTCAGTGTATCGGTGTTCTACCAAGTTTTGATCTTGAGAACTATTTTCCATTTGTCTAAAAAAGATGGCAGTAGGGACTAGGGAGAAATTACTGTCTACTTCCAGCTGAAATTTTCTGACATCTGGAGTGAAAAAATAATTTGAGAGCTAAACGTTCTTGTCTTTGGCCATGCCATACACCTGTACGATTTAACCCTTCTTGCTTATAATTAGTTATTTATTATTTCTTTTAGGCTATTTGAAGGGTTTTGCTAAAGCATGGATATAAGACCAAATCACACGATTTATATCAACAATATGAATGACAAAATTAAAAAAGAAGGTATGTTCTTTTAAAAATTTATTCACAACTAAAATGTGTTTTTTTCATCTGTGTCTTAAGAGTGTGTCTCAGTGTCTCATCTAGTTATCTTTCTTGTCTCATCTAGTTATCTTTCTTGGTGCTCAACAATGGTTTATTCCATTTGTACTCAACTTTAAGGATTTTTAGTATAAGAATATATAGGACTTGAAGTGCTTTGAATTGTTTTTACTTATAAATGATTTTAAATAACTTTAAAATCATTAGCTAATGGGACTATTGCTGGTGATTTTGTTAACTCTATAAATAAGTAAATGGTAGAGGTGGTCATTGTGTTGTTATTTTATGAAGAACTTAATCATTGTTTCATTCACAAAATGTTTTCCTCTTACTTGTACAGAATTAAAGCGATCCCTGTACGCCTTGTTCTCTCAGTTTGGACACGTGGTGGATATTGTAGCCTTGAAGACCATGAAAATGAGGGGACAGGCTTTTGTTATATTTAAGGAGCTGGGCTCATCCACAAATGCTTTGAGACAATTACAAGGATTTCCATTTTATGGTAAACCAATGGTGAGCTAATCCTATTATTTCTGCTTTAATCACTATTATTGAGTGGTTCAATAGGTTTTTAAGTATAGGGTTACCACTAGGCTGTTGATTTCTGATTCTTTGTTTAGAGAAATTTGTGGTGTTTTTTTTTTTTAATATATATATTTTGTTTGTTTTGAGAAAGAGCCTCTGATAGCCAAGGTTAGCCTTAAACTTGTTATGTAGCCAGTGTGAATTCTTTAGATTCTACCCTGTAAGTAGACGCTGGGATAGTAGGTGTGTTCTACCACACAGAGTGTGTACAGGTATTTTTTTTTATAAAAATATAGAACTAGAGTTGAATTAACTGTTTATTCTTGTTAAATTGAGCAGAGCTAAAAATACTATGATTTATTTCACTGAAAATTAAGATGACATCACAGACAAGATTTTTTAAAATATTAGAAATTAAGTAGACGTAGTGGTACTTGCATGGATTCTCAACTCTTGGGAGTGGAGGCCGAAGGGTCAGAAGTTCAAGGATATCCTAGGCTACATGAGACTGTGTATAAGAGGCCAGTGGGAGGGGCTGGTTCAGAGGGCATGAGGCCCCTGGGTGTAAGTCTCAGTAATAGAGAGTTGGAAAGTATTGAGCAAAATGCCTTAAGTGTGAGTACATACACTGTACCTTGAGTATGGATCCCTACTGCCTTTCTGCTGGGATTGGAAAACCATGTAAAGAGGTCTTGGCGACTCAAGGCCTATGGTTTGGAGGCTCTGAATCCTCATTCTGGTTCTTCCATTAGCAGATTCTGTACCTCTAGTCACTCCCACCACCACTAAGATTCGAGCAGCCTGAATCTGGTTTAATCTTGAGATCAGTAGAAACCCTGAAGAACTACATATTTTAAGCTTTGCTGACCACATGTTGTGTCTGGTACTATTACTTGTTTGTGTTTTTAACCTGTTAAAATAAGTGTAAACTCAGGCACTAATCTTAATCTGGATTTGGCCTAAGGTACACACCTAGCCTCTGCTTGTCTGGAGAAGGATTGGGTATGAGGCTAACGTGTTCTTTTAGGGTGTGGACCTATAGCCATTGGCAGCATCAGTGCTTGGAACCTAGATAACCTAGGATTATCATGCTTTTTCCGTGCTAGGAAGGAACACAGTTTTCAATACAGCCAAGTAGTGAGATTGCAGGCCTCACTAGCCAGATGCCCTTTGTTGGAGCTCTTCTCTTAATACAGCAAGTAAGGCCGTGAAAACCATGGCTGCCCAAGTGAATGGGTGTGCTCCAGCCAACCCTACAGTGTTAGCTGTCAGCAGCAGTTTGCAGCCTCTGTTCTATACTACACTGTTCCTGAGTTTCATTAAGTTGAAAATTTCTGAAATCAGATAATAATACTTAATATGAAGAATTTACATAAAATAGCTCTCATGCTTGGAGCATAAGGCTTCTTTAGGCAGTTTGGCCGAATTGAAAAGACAAGTGCGCATGTGTGCTGTTAACTGAATAGAGAAAGGAGGAGATGTTTGCTGTGTTGGCAGGAGCCTCACCTTGTCAACTCTTCTTTAATGAAGAAAGAATGTCCAATGGTCTAACTTTACATTGAAAGTATCTCAGAGGTCTCTTCTCTGACTGCCTTAAGGAAGGTGAGCGGGAGCTGCCAGCTCTTCAGCGTCTGCACAGAATGAATTGGATGCTTTGAGCTGCCCTGCTTGTATTTAAGTGCTTTCAGGCTAGATCAGAAGTGAGCAGAATTTGTTTGAATTTCTAACTCAGAACAAAATTACGTCAGTTAAATAGAGTACTGTTCTGAGGGCTTTTGTCACGAGCATTTTGTAATAAATATAAATCTTACATTTTGCTCATTTTAAGAGATGAATTACATTTTGTTTTTTAATGAGTATTTAGAACAAATTTTTTTTAGTAGTGACATTTTGGGGTCGTTACTATTCACTCAGGTGTCTAGCAGAATCCTGGGCCTTCACCCACTAAAAGCTAAAAGCCTCTCAGCTAGCAGTGTCTCTAGATAATGCCAAGTATCCTAGGCAGGCGCGTAGTGTCTCAGCAAAGCTGCTGTTGACATCATATACTTTCTTAGGTGACTGTTACAAAGACAGATGAGTCAGGTACCCAAGGGCTGTTCAGTTCAGGGATTGGGGTGAAGACCTAAGGAACTGCCGTCTTCTGAGTAGTCCTGTCTGTTAGAACATGATGGGAAGGTTAGCAGAGCTGTCTGGCGTCTGCCACAGTAAACAGAATAGCCCACACTTGTCACGCCTGGCCAGGGGTTCTGAGGGGCTCTTGCTTTCCTCTTACATTGGTGTAGTCTTTTCCTAGCTGAAGGAGGGAAAAGAAAGAATCCCTTTTGGTTTTAGAAACCCCTACCTTCTAATCCACATTACTTCAAAATGCTTATTCTTGTCTTCTGACCAAGATCAAATTCTTGGGATAGGAATAATTTGTAGGATTATTGTGTTTTGGTGTCATCAAAGATATGTTGGACTTGTGAGCTATGGAGATGTGTTTGGTTGAATTGAAATTATAGCTTGCACACTGTTACATTCTAGTAACTGTACAGTTCACTGGCAGAAATATTTGGCCATTTGTTTTAGCAGTGATGAATTTAGCCATGTAGCTGATTTAGCTGTGTAAGAAAAGCTGGTCATCATTCCCTTTGTGCTTGCTGAAAGCATAGAGTCAGAAGTCTTGTCGGAATCTGCACATTTAGAAGCTCGCTGGGCTGTTGGATTGTTGTGCACAATACTTGGTAAAGCATTAGTATAGGCCAGTGGTTTTGAGGGCTTGGGTGCCTACCATTTTGTTAGCTCTGTCTGGCACAGGCATACTAAGCCCACACACAGCAGTTGGTATCTCTCTTTCTACTTCCTCTCAAGCCAGTTTACCATTTAAGTTACTGACTTTTTTTTTTTTTTTTTGGTCTTCAGAAAGGTGTTTATTCTGCTGTTCATCTTTTTTTAAATTAATTTATGTCTTTATTAATTATAGTTTATTCATTTTGTATCCCAGCTGTAGCCCCTTCCCTTGTCTCCTCCCAATCCCATCCTTCCTCCCTTTTCTCCTCCCATGCCCTTCCCCCAGTCCACTGATAGGGGAGGTCCTCCTTCCCTTCCATCTGATTCTAGCCTATCAGGTCTCATCAGGACTGGCTGCATTGTCTTCCTCTGTGGCCTGGTAAGGCTGTTTCCTTATCAAGGGGAGGTGATCAAAGAGCCAGCTACTAAGTTCATGTCATAGACAGTCCCTGTTCCCCTTACTAGGGAACCCATTTGGAGACTGAGCTGCCATGAGCTACATTTGTGCAGAGGTTCTAGGTTATCTCTATGCATGGTCCTTGTTTGGAGTATCATACAGTCTCAAAAAAGAGCCCTGTGCCCAGATATTTTGGCTCTGTTGGTCATCTTGTGGAGCTCCTGTCTTCTCCGGGTCTCTCTATCTCCCCCTTTTTTCATAAGATTCCCTGCACTCTGCCCAAAGTTTGGCTATGAGTCTCAGCATCTGCTTTAATACCCTGCTGGGTAGAGTCTTTTAGAGGCCCTCTGTGATAGGCTCCTTTCCTGTTCCCTATGTTCTCCCTCTTCCTCTTCTGTTCATCCCTTTTTTTTTTTTTACTTTTATTAATTATACTTTATTCACTTTGTATTCCTCCATAAACCCCTCCCTCCTCCCTTCCTAATCCCACCTTCCCCCTCCCTTCTTCACGCATGCCCTTCCCCAAGTCCACTGATAGGGGAGGTCCCCCTCTCCTTGACAGTGCAGCCACTCCTCATGAGATCTGATTGACTTCATTTTTTTAAAGTGATAGATTGAAAGGAAAGCCATTTACAGACTTCAGTATTTTAGTCACTGTAAATAACAAATACCAGGACATATTCCACAACTAACTGACACGTATTGATCCTTTTATGAGTCTTTGATAAGTTTTTGTAGTCATTAGATCAGAAGAAACAGTAATGTAGCTTCTTACCACATGAAGTCTGTTCTAGTCACTTTCTGCTGTTTGTTTTTTGTGATAGTGGTGGGACTTGAACTTGGGACTTTGTACCGGATAGGCGACTACTCTCCTACTCAGCTATATCTCTTCACCTTTTAAAATTTTCTGTTTATTTGCTTAATACAATTTATTTGCTTTGTATCCCAGCTGTATCCCCTTCTCTCATCTCTTCCCTGTCCCACCCTCCCTCCCTCTTTCCCCCCTTTCCTTCCCCTAGTCCACTGATAGTGGAGGTCCTCCTCTACTCTTTGACCCTAGCCTATCAGGTCTTATCAGGACTAGCTGCATTGTCTTCCTCTATGGCCTGGTAAGGCTGATCTCCCCTCAGGGAGGTTATCAAAGAGCCAGACACTGAGTCCGTGTCAGAGACAGCCCCTGTTCCCCTTACTAGGGAACCCATTTGGAACTGAGCTGCCTATGGGCTACATCTGAGCAGGGCATATAGGTCCTTTCCATGCAATCCTTGGTTGGAGCAGTCCCTCATGGGCCCAAATAATTTTAGCTCTGTTGCTCTCCTTGTGGTGCTCCTGTCCCATCCAGGTCTTTTATCCCCCCCCCCCCTTTTTTTTTTTCATAAGATTCCCTGCACTCTGCCCAAAGTTTGGCTATGAGTCTCGGCATCTGCTGTGATCGCCTGCTGGTAGACTCTTTCAGAAGATCCCTGTGGAAGGCTCTTGTCCTGTTCCCTGTCTTCTCCAGCTTCCAGTGTCTAAATGATTACCCTTCTGAATGAGGATTAATCATCTTCTCTAGGTTCCTCCTTGAGTTAGAAAAAGTAGGGAAGAGTCTTCACCTTTTATTTTGAAATAGTTTAAGTTTTTCAGACTGGCCTTGAAATTGCTCTGCAGCCCAGGCAGGCCCCTGGTGTGTGATACTCTTGATTCTGCCTTCTGAGGAGATAAGGTTACAGGTCTGAGCCACCCAGCCGAACTTTATTTGTCCTGTGTAAAGACAGTTGAGTATAGTTGGCCCTCTTGTGAATCATAGGCCACTACTTATTTCCACAAATTTATCTCTGATTTTCTTAGAGATTTGTTTAAAATTAGTTTGCAGTGTATTTTTGTACAGGGATTTAAAAGGATTTGTACAGTTTTTGTAAACAGCCTTCCATAAAGTGAAGTAATTTGTTTTCCTATGATTAAAACAGCGAATTCAGTATGCAAAAACAGATTCCGATATAATATCTAAAATGCGTGGCACTTTTGCTGACAAGGAAAAGAAAAAAGAAAAGAAGAAAGCAAAAACCATGGAACAGGCTGCAGCAGCTGCAAACAAAAAGCCTGGTCAGGTGAGACAGAAAGGTTCAGGAGTGTGTGTGTGTGTGTGTGTGTGTGTGTGTGTGTGTGTGTGTGTGTACACTTACATGAGGCATGGTCTTTGGGGAGTGTATTTCTTCCATATGGGTATGCTTAAAGGTGAAGTTTTAAGAAGCTGGGATAACTAAACTCTAAAATTCTAGTGTTTATATTTAAGTAGCAATCTATAATATCAGATTTTGCACATGGAGATTTGAAGTAAACAGTTTTATTTGGGTTTTTATACCATTTAATGACATCTTTCCATAAGATATATTTGTTTGCATTTTTTAAAAATTCAGCCTATAGCTTCATCGCGAGTGAATAATTCAAGAAGCAACATTTGAAATCTAATAAAAGTGAAATTATCAAAAAAGTACTTTGGGTTTAAAATGATTTAAATCAGTTTGACTCTGTAGAATGCTTATGAAGTTGTTTTATAAAAGCAAAATCAAGACTGCTCCTCTTCTCCACCTCTTTTATTTATTTATTTATTTTGAGAAATGGTCCGGCTCTTGTAGCCTAGATGGAGTCTGTCCTCACATGAGTGGCTCTTCTGCTTCAGCCTCACAGCCTGCTGGGTCTCTCCATCATTTAAAGTATAAATGTAAAAGCATAGCGAGGTGGTGCACGTTCTCAGGAGGCATTGCCAGGTAGTCTGGTCTGCAAAGTGAGCTCCATAGCTCACTTTGACAGCCGAGCTACATAGTAAGATGGTCAGAAAAGTTCAGTTTTATGATATGGTCTGGGGAGCTGCGGGAGAGACATTTCAGAAATAACTGACAAACTAAGTAAGTAGTTAAGATGCGGGATTTTAAAGTAAAATGGAAAAGGGGTCTTTCATAGTTCTTTTTATGTTGAGTTTATATTATAAATGGAGGTTGCTTTTTTACCGGGACTGAAATTTAGCCATTTCTTAATCCCAGTTTCTCTTTTGTAGGGAACACCAAATTCAGCTACTACCCAAGGAAATGCAGCGCCAAATCCACAGGTAATATTTTTTTCCATGCAGTGCTTACCTTAAGATCATAAGTTATAGCATGTCTCCAAAAGCAAGTAATTCCCTTTGCAAGACATAAATGCTTTGTCACTTTAAGAAATTCACTCTTGAAAACATTTTGTTTTCCCTAAGACAGGAAAACAAAATCTGCCCTGATTCCTTGTATCCCATAATTGGTGACAAGATCAAAAAAAGGTAGAGAGTGTGGGTAGGGCACGTGTGGGAGCTTCACTGTGGGGCCTGTTTCCATCCCAGCGCTGACACCCTGACGTCTTCCCACGTCACACTGGGCCGTCAGCCCTGCTTGCACTTCCCTGCCGCAGTCTTTTTCTCAGTTTCCTGCTCTGAGTGCAGTCTATCCACAGAGGCTGACTGACCCACACCTCTGAACCACTGAAAAAAGCAAGAGTATTAGTGATGTGCTTTTGATTTTTGTTTTTTTGTTTTTTTTTTTTTCCTCTTTTGTTGCTGGGGACTGGTCCCCAGGCCTGGCCTATGCTAGGCAAGTGCTGTATTACTGAGCTGCCCAGCACCCCTTATCCCCACTGAGATAGTCTTGATGCTACTCTCAAAACTCTCAACCTGAGTGCTGAGATTGCAGATATTTGTCACTATCCCTGACCCTTTGTATTTCTTGTGATCTCTCAGGACTTGTAGTCAGTTCACAAATAATTAATTTGGGCACTTAATTGCTTTTTTACACATCATCTTTTCTGTCCGTGATACTAACAGGTAGTATCTTCTTATATATAACCCTTTACTCCCTGTAGTCTCAGGATGGGATATCTAAGGACAGCTAAATATCTAATCTGCTTGTTTCGACATGCTTTAGGTAAGTAGACCATTTACTGTGTGCATATGTGTACAGGGACATGCACACAGCAAATGTCAGCAGGCTGTAGTTCTCAGCAGTAATGTTTTATATGTGAATTTTCTCATGTTCCGGTAGCAAACAGTGATGCCCAGGAGTCACGTGTTGCAGTGTTAGCCGAGTAGAGTGACCAGCTGAGGAAGCCCATGTTGCTGCCTCTTCTAGTTTTTAGGCTCTTTCCATTCTGTATCCCAGGTGACAGAATTCCTCAGTTGTCACTGACCTATAGGTGCCTCATCTTGTCAGTACTGTTTTTACAGATTCATAACCTTCCAAATTTGAGGCGTCCTAACTTGAATGTTGGCGTCCCCTGTAGGTTTCTGTCCGTGTCTTTGGTGTCATTGTTTTCAGCTTTCGTTTTGATGGTGTTAAGGTTTTACAGGCCCATGTGAGCTGCAGTGTAGGTCTCTGAAGATGAGGTTTTCATGTTTCTTACAACCTAATACCACTTGGTGCAGTTCATATCCACAAGCTAACTTTGCTGTTTGTTTTTAACAGGTCCCTGATTACCCTCCCAACTATATCCTGTTCCTTAATAACTTACCAGAGGAGACGAATGAGATGATGCTGTCCATGTTGTTCAATCAGTAGGTGGTTTTGCTTGTTCGCACTAAACCAGTGCCCACAGGGGCCTCCCAACAGCGCAAGTGCACAGCTGTACACTGCGCTTATTGCCAGCCATGGCAGCACTTCTCTGCACTGCCCTTGATGTAGTCAGGGCCTAATCATGGGTTGGAGCCCGACTCCAGGTTTAGCAAATAGAGCTGGATTTCCTCCGCCGGAGTTACTCTAAGAGATGGGTAAACAGGAAGCAGACCTTTGACGCAATGACAGCAGTGGAATTATAGTGAACTCTTGCAGTTCCTTCATGGTAAAATTTTATGTTAAATGCCTTCGTCCTCCTTGGGATTCTTGGTTGGATGTGATTAGTTTTCTTTGACTAGTAGTGGGAAGTTGCTTAATAAATTTGTGTATATGTTTGCCTGTATTTATTGCTTTTGTTTTTTCTAGGTTCCCTGGTTTTAAGGAGGTTCGCCTGGTCCCAGGGCGACATGACATTGCATTTGTAGAATTTGAAAATGACGGGCAGGCAGGAGCTGCCAGAGATGCTCTACAAGGCTTTAAGATCACACCGTCCCATGCCATGAAGATTACCTATGCCAAGAAATAGCGTTTGGATGCCAGCGTTAGAGGACTTGCTCTTATTTATGGTGTTTGTTCTGATCATGTCTGGTCAAGTCATTTTTAAATGGTTGGAAGTAAGGGTGACGTTTTTGGGGGAAAGTTACCTAACTTTTTTTTTTTAGTTTTGGTGAACTATGAAATACAAAGCCTTAATTTTGTACAATAAACTATTATCTGTATTCTGTGTACTTAGCACTGTTTAGTTGTATGTTGTCCTGCTGTCAAACACTATGTCAGTATAGACCACATCTGAAAGTATGTAAAACTCCGTAATGGAGGTTTTGTTATTTTGGAGCAGCTAATGATACAAAAGTTCAAAGGAGCAGGTTGTACCAACAGATGAGCAGTATGATAATGGTAAAATGATCACTGTGCTGTTTGAAAACATGACATTTGTGTCCTTTGGGCCACAGTATAGTATTTGGCCATCGTAGGGATTCAGTTGATAGTAATTAATGGCCGTTTGATAGCAGCTGATTTGTTCTCTAGAAAAACAAGAATGGGACTGCTGCCTTCAATGTAATACTTTCCTTTCCTTGAAGGTTACTCTCTAGTCCCAGTACTGAATGATTTTTAGTATCCCAGGCTTTGTATTGCCTGTGTGTAATTGCAGCGTAATGAAGGCAAAGGCAGGAGGAGCGCCGCAAGTTCAAGACCAGGTTTAGCTCAGTGAGACCCTCAAAATACGGAAGTAAATAAGTGACTGTAGATGAGATACAATGCCAGACCTCCTCCAAGGGTAGGATTGTGTAGTCTCTTTCCTAGGAAAGCTACTCTCCCTTTGTGGTGCAGTGCTGTGCCCAGGTTAGACTAGGCACTCAGTCTCCCACTGAGCGCGGCGGCCCCTGCCCATTGTTGGCGAGCTTTGCTTTGTTTTGTTTTGTTTTGTTTTGTTTTGTTTTGGGGTAAGATTTTTCCAGTGTAGTCCAGGCTGGCCCCAGACTTTCACCCAAGTTTTGATTATAAGCCTGTGCCCTGCTGCACCCACTTTGGCTTTCTGAAAGCTTTTTCTTTGGTTTTGCTTATACTAATGGCTTAACTTCTCCCTGCTAATAAAACCATGTTTAGAAATTAACTTAATGAAAGGAGTCCCAGAGAACACATCAGGAATAATGCAAACAAACAATTGTCAAGACAACGTCCGCACTTTAGATGGAAGAGTGAGGCACCTGTGGAGAGTGGTTCCGTAAGCTGAACCTAACCATCAGGTCAGTGGGCATTGGGAGGGTGCTGGAGGGCAGAGTTTTCCTCACTCTGTCCTCTCACCGGAAAGAATTCGCTGGAGACTCACCAGCAGTTTAACCAAGCTTATTTAGCAAAGTGAAACAGAAGAAAACAGAGCAAGGTGTTAGTACTCCAAGGTTACTCCTAATACCGTAGATTCTGACCTGGGGAGAGATCTAAGCCAAGGGGCAGCTACTAAGCCCAGCTACAGCTTCTTTGCTCCTCTCCCAGCCAACTCCATGCCACCCCAGCTGCAGCTCCATATGCTGCAGCCTCTCCTCAGATGGGAAAGAAGCCATGGGCGCCTTTGAAGAATGACAGACCGTGTAATTTAAAGATGAAAGGACTGGGGGACATCTGAAAACTCAGAAAAAGCAGACGAATGGGCTCCGGTCAGAACTCTTAGGGCTTCTCCAACGGCTGCAGCACTATGAACATGACATTAGGCACAGTTTCTTGGGTCTGAGTTATAAATTTAATTAAATTCTTATTTGCCCACCACAAATACCAGAATAATCTGCGCCTAGAATAGTTTGTTTCTTCACCTTCACAAGACCAATTACAATGTTACATTGGCCTTAGCTATTTGTTATTTGCAGTTGCTTGGAGGTGACATACCCTTCAGTCTCCTGTGGAAGCCTGTGTACCTTGTGGCTGCCTTCAGCTTATCCAGTCTGTTTCTTGGAGTAGCTCTAAAATGGCAATTATCTTTTAAGTCTCATGTTGGCTGCTGGGTTGGGACGAACAATCTGAAGGCAACTGTCCAGTCAGAACTAAGAGTTAATCAATGTTTGCATTTTCCTGCAGATGCTTTTAGGGCCTTGGATAAAGGAAGAAAAACAAATAAAACAGAACCCACCCTGCCATTACACTTTCCAAGGCGGTTTCTAATCCATCCTCTCCTTGATGTGAAGCAGGAAAGACGTTGAATTTTGTGAATTTGACATTGATATGAGGCAGTAGCAGTGGCTCTTGGTCCCTCTGTGTGACCTGTGGATAGGGGGTCAGCAGAGGGCACTTTGGCCATTTGGGCTTCCTATCATCTCTAATCAAGATACTGAATAAAAAGAGTCTTGCAAATCAGGCCAGCTGTATACAGGACCCCGCCCTGAGAACAACACGCACGCGTCCTAAAAACCTGTGCACACAAGCAAAACAGTAAAACTATTGCATACATGTGCATGTGCTCACATCTATGCCAAATAAGAAAACTTTAATTATAGTGAGTATGTTTTGCATTACCAATCCCTTGGAAAATAATTCTAGACAAAATTGCTTAATAAATTCTTGTCCCTCATATCGGGTCTTTAAAGCCACAGGGTCAGCCAAGTTGGAGAGGCAGATTGACAGGGAGCTCTAGTTCAGAAACAGTAGGTGGCGGTCGATTTCACCTGTCCAGAGAAGTGCTCATCCCAAGCACCCCCTAAAACGCAGCTGGATGCTGTCTGTTTCTCCTGGTAATGATAAACTGTTCAGACCAAGGCTGTTTTTCATTCAGTGCTAGATTCTACATGCCTAAAACAAAGCTTAACATACAGTATATGTTCTGTGACTCTTTACTAAACAGATGGAACTATGTATCGGTGACCTCCAAAATGTTCCTGAGAGGGTCTTTACTGAAAAGGTATCTTAGCAATAGGAAGCTTAGGAATACCAAAGAGTCACACCACACAACAAACGTCACACAAGAGATTTATTGGGGAGAAACAGATTGGCGGCTGCCTTTGAGCAGGAACAGAGAGCAGGAGGCTACGAAGAGAGTGGGGTTTTAGGGGTTTCGGAGCATGCACAGTGAGCTAGTGGAAAAGTGCAACGTGGCCATTAAGTATTGCTTGGCCATTAACCCCAGGTTCAAGAGCAGTGTGATTTTCCACTGGCCTGTTACCTTACAGTTCCTCCTATGGGAGAGATGCTTAAGAACAGGAAAGTGGGAATAACTAACTGTCCTAGGGTTTTATTGCTGTGATAACACACCCTGGCCACTCTGATCCTTATGAAGGAAAACATTTAACTGGGACTGGCTTACAGTTCGGAGAGGTAGCCTGTTATCATCATGGTGGGAAGAATGCAGGCATCTTCATTGAAAGCACCACAGTAACAAACAGTTTTGCCCTCTCTGATCAATCAGGGCATTTGCAGACTAAAGCAATCCTTGGAGGAAGTTAGTAGATTTTTGATCTTGAATGTGTCTAAAAAACTTACATGTTAAATGTGTGCTCTCTGTCCCTAGGGGTGAACCAAACTGGCTGTTTTTCCCATATCTTCTGTTTCCCAGCAATAAGATAAGTGGTGTTCTCTGTAACAGTCTTCGAAAAGCCAAATCAATAGGAGCGGTGAACATGGACTGGAAATTCCAGACCTGTAGCTCAAAATAAATGCTTTTTCCTCATGGGTTGATTGTGTCAGGCGAGTGTTATAGTGAGGGAAAGCTAAGATACACTGGAATAAAAAAGGAATTGCCCTCATTTCCTTACCCACCTGTGTCTTGCTGGTTGTGATATTAACTAGTGTGTTCTAGAATCCATCAGATGCTCAGGCAAAACATAACTTCTAAGAAACCTATCACAAAAGATTTGTATAAGATTTCTTTATATTATGCAAATATATTTACATATATTATATAAATCTAGAATTTTATTAGTTACACTTACCAAAAATAAATTTTGAACTCAAGGCATTTTTACTTTTTAAAATGTGAATGTGTGTGGCACGGTGTGTGTGTGTAGTGTTTACATGTGTGATGTGGGTGTGTTCCTCAGTTTTTCTCCACTTTCTATATTGAGGTTCTTGCCCAGCCCAGAGCTTGCTGGTTCCAGTTACTGTGGTAGCCAGCTTGCCTCACAGACACTTATGTCTGTCTCTGAAGGGCCTCCGTGCCTGTCCAGTTTTTGTGTGGGTTCTGGCATTCTGTTCTTCACACTTGCCCAGCAAATGCTTTATCCACTGAACTGTCTCCCCAGCCTCCATTTTATATTTTGAACAGATTTTACAATCAATACATGGCTGCTCATAAACTGAAAGAATAGAAGGATAAAACAGAAGAATAAACAATGGTTGACATTCTCACAGTTCTTTCAACAGTGCCCTGCTGGTGGATACCACAAGCCGTGGCAGATGTAGCTTTAACCATGGCACTAGGAGTTTGACTCTTTCTGGAAATTAAATTCGAAAAAGCATCTGGAATCCAGGAGCACATGTTATGAAAGGGGGGTGGGGAGTGAAGAGCTGGGGGCAAAGCCTTTTCCTATTGGGTGGGTATTTACGCCGAGGTTTGGCTTTCAAATAAAAGAACCACTGAAGTCAGGCAAAGAGTGCTAGTGGAAACAGGAAGAAAGGGAAGATGACAAGAATGTTGATTCTTTTGCTTGGGGGCCTTGCGGCTCTATGTGCGGGACAAGGAGTGTTTATGGCTAAACTTTCTTCTAAGAAGTTGTGCGCAGATGAGGAGTGTGTCTGTAAGGAGTCACCATCATCGTATAACTGGAAATATGTCTGGCACGAAGCCAGATTGTACTCTGTAGTGGATCTTCAATGTGCTTGTGTTTTCAGCCCTGCGCCTCACCATCTGTGTTTGCTTCCAACTGTGGAGAATGAATTTGCCTGAGATGCTGTTGCAGCTTTGAATCGTGTGGCTTCTCTCTCTTCTCTTTGACCCACCTGGACTCTCCTGCTTCTTTTCTATGCTGTTTACTTGTAGGACATCTAGTCACGTCTTTGCTTTCTTTCCTTCTTTTTCTTTTAGATACTATTTCTCTGGCCAGAGCACAGGAAGATTACAATGCCCCAGACTGTAGATTCATCAATGTCAAGAAAGGGCAGCAGATCTACGTTTATTCCAAACTGGTAAAAGAAAATGGAGCTGGAGAGTTTTGGGCTGGCAGTGTAAGATGAGATTTTTTTTTTTAAACACACACGTGTATATTTCTTACTTGTGTTGCCTGCAACTTTTTCTGAC